GCTTCTAGTTGTTGTACTTCTAACCTGCTTTCTCTCTCTCCTCCCATCCTCCAGTTAACTGTGCTTCCTCCGCAGCTGCAGCACCTTTCTTCCCTACATTCTTCCATTCTGGGTTCTTCTCTGCATTTTGAACAAAAAGCTGCTGCCAGGTGTGCGTAGCGCTGACACCTGTAGCACCTGAGAGGAGGTGGAATGAGCGGCCATTCTAACTATCAGCGGTGACCTGCTGCCATCATTTCCCTTCTCTGGATCTTGTTAACAAAGCCTCCAATAAAACTCATATGGGTGAGAAGAACATGATGGAATAACGGAAAATCAAGGACCCAATGTAAATAAAAACTGCGTTCCCCTTTAAGCTGTCCGTTATTATAGACCGCTGTCATCCAGAGAGCGTTCTTCCTCTAAGCAGCTTCCCTCCATCATAGATCTAGAGCTGGTGAAATGAGGAGAGGTCTCACTGTGCTCTCCAGGTGGCTGCATTTGGTTTTAGGATATAGATCAGAGTGAGACCTCCTTAAAGAAGTCTTCTTTAGCAGACGTGGCCTTCCTGAGGTTCCGGAAACGCGTCAGAGTGAGCCCTCCTGTGCATCGCCTGCTCTCTGCTTTAGGAAACGTGTCCTTCCTGAGCTCCGGTAGATGAAGGAGCCTCATTTCTCGGCCTCGGAACATCTCCAGCAGAACCTCTGAATAGACCCATCATGGCAGAAGCAGAAGCCGCGCTGAACGCCTCGGACTCTAACGGGACCGAAGCGGTGAACGCCTCGGCTAAGTTCGTGGCCACTCCGGAGGGGACGGCGCTGGCCTACGGCAGCCTGGTGCTCATGGCCCTGCTGCCCATCTTCTTCGGAGCGCTGCGCTCCGTCACCTGCTCCAAGTCCAAGGTAAACACAACCCGTTAGCCGATGCTAACCGGTTAGCATCCCAGCTAACGGCGCTGGTGCAGATGAAGGTTCAGCTGTGAGCGGTCATTTAGCAGCTGCGGGCGGGGGGTGGGTGGGCTGTAGGGACCAGGATGGACCGGCATCATGGGCTGTACAACATTTCTCCTGTTAATGTAATCTCTGCTGCCAGTGTTGAACAAGCTATGCCCTGGTGGCTCCACTGCTTTCCACTGTCTGCTTCCTACTGACTGCTTCCTGCTTCCCGATGTCTGCTTCCCACTGTCTGCCTACGGCTGACTGCTTCCCGCTGACTTTTTCCTGC